AATGATATTGGTATCAAAAAGATCAGGAATGTTTGATGCTTGTATGACTTTTTGTTTTTTTTGTGGAGGAACCAACAATGCAGTTCCGTCTAAAAACGCGAACACATTCTTAAACAATATTCAAAAACCATAAACTATGGATTATTCGAGAAGTTGATGACGATTTGGGATAGAAAACAGAATGCTCTACAATAAAAGCGTTTACATTTGTCTCGACTATCTTCAACTTTCGAAAAGGTGTTTGAAGTACGGAAATATATCAAGAAAGTTTGTGGCGCTGCTTGAACAGAAACACATTAGGCATTCTCATGAGCTTTCCAAAAAATCTAAATATTCACAGGGCATAAGCCTAACATGGCCATGGCAGTTTCAAACTTATTTGGAGTTGTTCGTATACTGCGCTAGCTTCTTGTTCTGCAGCTGCAAGAACCACTTTACTGGTGTTGCTAAGCGTCAGGAAAGACAACATGAAACGAAAACTGCTTTCTGCGATCATACACCTTCCGGGTTGAGCGCGTTATATGGAAACATCGCACTCCCTAGTTATGTCCTTTGACCGCGTATTATCTGGTCCTTTGCTAAAGAGCGAGCCAAAAAAGCTAGAAAGAAATGGAAACTGTTTTATTGTTCAGATGCATTACTCAAATATGTGAAAAAACAAAAAGAGAAAGCGCATTGGAAGCATTCGAAGCAAAAAAGCCAAGGAAAAGCTAAGTTCTGGTTTGTACAGCCAAATCCACCATATTAGAGCTAACGGTGGCTGAACGTTTCAACAGTTTCTCATACAGAAGTCTCCCATCATCAACTAACTCAGTGTAGCGCGCTACTCGAAAAGACGAACGAGAATTTTCGTTACTAGTAGTTTACATCACAAATTACAAAAACTGAAATATTTTACGTACTCTTGCAAGACCTTTATTCGAACTAACATCTGTCATTAGCTATGAATTGAAAGATCACTTGTCATCCAACGTTTTAAACTATTGCTGGAAAAAACATAGTAGTAATGGTTATTTTTTAAATAAATCGAGAACGAAAGACGATAGAGTTTACTGTTCCCAAACTACACAATGAAATCCAATCTCAAATAACACCAATCGATAGCCAGAACATTTTTCTTCAAAATGCAAGGCCGAGGTCTCCATCTCCTTTGGTTACGGAGATACAGATGTTTTCCGAGGGCACACCTATCTCGTTCCAGACACGTCTGGGAATCTCAGAAACAAGTGGATCATAGATAATCGACCATGCTGATCATAGTGGTGATATTTGTATCATTCCCCGCTCAATCATAGCTTCAGAAAAGCCAATTTGGCGAAAATCCGGTTTTTCGTCTATTACTGTCAAAAATTAAAATCCATATGTTTCACTCATTTCTCGTCCAAAAAGACTCGAATGTTCAGGCAATGATTAACAGAGATCGTAGAATGCGGTCCTGCGCGAAAAATTGGAACTGAGCTTTGGTTTCGTGAAAGCTTTTCCAGAGACCCGCTAAAAAATCGTAGTCATAAAGTGGAAACCATAACTAATTTTTTCGACTCGATCTACATTCTATGACCTATCTGAGAATTTCTAGAAAATTTGACTCTTTTTGGACGAGAAATGAGTGAAACATATGGAGTTTAAATTTTTGACAGTGATAGACGAAAAACCGGATTTTCGCCAAATTGGCTTTTCTGAAGCTATGATTGAGCGGGGAATGATACAAATATCACCACTATGATCAGCATAGTCGATTATCTATGATCCACTTGTTTCTGAGATTCCCAGACGTGTCTGGAACGAGATAGGTGTGCCCTCGGAAAACATCTGTATCTTCGTAACCAAAGGAGATGGAGACCTCGGCCTTGCATTTTGAAGAAAAATGTTCTGGCTATCGATTGGTGTTATTTGAGATTGGATTTCATCGTATAGTTTGGAAACAGTAAACTTTCGGATTTTGCTCCGAATGGTACATCATGGTAAACCTAATCGAAAGCCCTGATTTTTTTCATAGGTGTACGTCTAAAAGTGTCTACTTTGGGTGTCTGTTGGGGGTCTGTTGTGATCTGAAAACCGCAGGTCTATCGTCTTTCGTTCTCGATTTATTTAAAAAATAACCATTACCGCTGTTTTTTTTTCCTATAATACTACACAATTGCTTTGTGATATTATCTCCTCTTTGATGAATAGGAGAGGAAAGGAAGGCTGTGCTGTATTATGCAGTGATTCTGCTCTCAGAAGAAAAAACGAGACAGAAAAAATTAAAAGAACTTACATAAGTCCTGTATTGTCGGAGAATTAAAGTTGCTGTCTAGTAGAAGGTGTGCAGATTCAGAAAATTGAGACTTAAGATGAATCTCCAATTCTACGATGAACGGTGGCGACGATGGATCTGTTGAAGGCGGCGGCACATATGAGTATACTAGGAATTTAACATCATTGAATGATTCACCATCGACGTCCAACCATCTTTTTATTGTAGGTTCAAAAAACTGGATAACCAGAACGTAAGATGCCATAATACTGAATCTCCACAGTAGACGATCTAAAAATTGCTGATATGCGTCCTTATCATAGACTTCACATTTTTTGGTACTTGGATGTTCATGCAATTTTGCAAGGACGCATTTAACACGATTCATCAGCAAAAAGCAGAATCCAACTTACTGTGTTATTGTGTTTGTGAAATCAGCAAAGAATCTTTTCTGTTGTGAACATCTCTTATTTATATTATATTCACTTTCCAAGTGACGCATGCCATTTCCTTTGACTTTTCCTTCTGAATTTTCTTTATGTACAAAATGACACAGCAAAAGAAAAAGTTCTTTCTTTCTGCTTATTCTTAAAGGTGAGGGAATACTTGGAAAGATAACTTTTATTATTCCTTTTCCTTCTTTCCAACCACGAAATCACTTGGAAAAACATACTGTTTAGTAGGTAAAAACCTGTTAATGAAAATTCATATAACTTCATACTGCTACTATAAATACTTCTTTCCACAGTAAAGAAATAAATTTACTATCTAAAACTTTACTATCTAACTAAATATACCTATCTCTACTTTTAAATATCTTGACGAACGTTTCCGTTCGTGAATTGTATATCTAGGCTACAGCAGTTTCACATTATACGTTTCAGGTATATGCGCACTTAGTCGTATTAACGTAAGTAGCTGTTCCATTCATTTCGATCTTCAGATGTCGGCGCTGGATGCACTGGTCTATTTTAATCACAAATTGAAATCGATCACTTTTGCGAACGGTTCAACGTATGGGGATTTAATTGATATACTTGGTAGAACATTAAAAATCGATTTCACAAAATTATGTATTCAACTTTGGGATGACACCTATAAAGTGTATCTCGATTTAGACGAAGAATATTTTGACGAAGTGAAAGATCTAATACATAAATCATTATCGGAGAAAGCATTTTCAATATCGTTTCGATTTATTAGAAGAGCATTTCCCTGTCCATTACCAAAAACTCCACGCGCGATCACACGACAACCAAGTGCCGACAAAAGTAAGAAAGAAAAGTCGTATGTTATTAACCTAAAAAATGTTTAATGAGATTTGCTCGTTATATAACGTTTCTGATATATTTTCAAAATGTGTGATGAATTAAATTAACATATTGAGAGTAAAACTATTGGTCGATACAGACTAGATATATAATAGAGTTAAAGTTAGATACTTTAATGTACATGTGGTGATATTTATGTCGGTAAGACTTGCTCGTTTAAAAGACGAATAAAAGAACATATACGGAAAATTAAACAGAGAGATGTCAAAGGATCAGAGTTAGCACAACATGCAGAGAATCCCGGTTGTTTTGTTAATTTCGATGAAAGCGTTATCTTTGATAAAAAAAAAAGCATTGGGCAAGAAGAAAGAAACTGGAAACGGTTTATACTATTGCCAATAAGGGTTATAATAAATGCAAAGGAATAAGTCCGCAGTGGAAGTCTACTATCAAGAAGTGGGTCCAACCCAGAACAGGGAAGAACTTTTTCCCGAGAGTGGACAAACCAGTCGTTAATTCTGTAGAAATTATAAGTAATACTATTACTAATCAGACAACAACATATAGATATAATTATACGAGCTATAGTTTACGCGAACAAAAGAGGAAAAATTATAAAGAATGACTTAATAATATGTCTATTCGTTTACAACTCTCTTTCCAATATCATACGGCCTGACTTAATCTGTCCTTCTAGGTCGAGAGAGAGAAAATAACCTTTGTCTGTAAATATTCTAAAGATGTATTTTAGTTTATTTTGTCTCGCTTGTTATTCTTCGATGTTCGTACGAATAAGTATGCCTTGTGAGAGAGAGAGATTAATAGATGTTGTTAAAGAAAAGAAAATGAAAAACAAACTATAAATAGGCGTGCAACAATATAAAGTTTAAGTAGTCACTCTACATTTTAAGTCTGCACAAGTTATATGAAATAGAATTTTAACTATATTTTATATTTTATATTTTATATATTTTATACGTACACTGAAGAAAACCTCAATTAAAAGAGGCCGAAACGTTTGTTGTTTTTGTTAAATTTAAAATTGAAATACGGAACTAAAGTCTAACTTTAACTCAATTAAATTAACGTAAAAATTTTTAACAGTGTATATTGCTTACCGTTTTATACCTATATATTCCCTTCTTACAAATTCATTTTTGTGATGATATAAGTCCTTGACATGCTTTGAAACCACTCAGACACGAAAATAAATTTTATGATCACTAACTGAGAACTTACTCTCTCATTATAGGCGCAGATTGTCAATTCGATGAACCAGATACAGACGGTGATCTTTATGGTAAGACCCCAGTAGAAGTAACTCATACAAGGTCTAACGAAGTGTAACCAAAGCGAGAAGTTCCAAATAATGATTACAAGTAACAACAGTAGCAGCGTTCTCCATTAATACTAAACCAGATTTTTAGAAACTTATGCCATTCTATTCCGAACACTTTACTCTGTATATTCTGCTAAGAGCTCTTTCCTAATTTATTCTCTTAGTGTACAGTAAGCAAAATACTTTTGTTTTTTTCGTCTTTTCTTTACTTTTCAAGTTTTGTTCATAGTCCTTAGCACGACGTCGCCTCAAATGTTTATGAAAACGACTGAGTAGTGTTACCTTTTTGGTGTATATGTTCGTGTACAAGTTTTACATTTGTCTCTAATCTTATTATCTTTTGAGTAGAGAAAGTCAAGAAACTGCGTTAAAAACTCCATGATTATTTGTGCTTTTCAAAAATCGGAGGAGGTTTTTTATTACATTTTGCACCTATAACTAAAGTACTACTGAACACTGTATGCTAATGAGATCTACTGAAGAAATGTTTCTTTAACAAGAGAGATGAACAAAACGATAGCAAAATGCATTCAGACTAGTAGGTATCAGCTCATTGACATATTATCGTTGAACTAGGTATAGAAAGTGCGAACCTACTCCTGAAAGGGGTCAAAGTATTTGAAGTACTCATATACCTAAATTACAGGTACAAAGTACCGATACTGTTCTGAAGTACAAGTACAAGTATCCATCCTCTGAATGAAATGAAACATTATCAATCTCTTCTCTATTGGAATTTGTTAGGAAGTAGTTAACCTAATCTCATATCAATAGTTGTCATCTTTCAATATACATATTCTTATCGTCACTCGATGGTTATTTTCCCTTTCTGTTCTTCTGATATATGTAGTCTCCTGCTTTTTATGATATATATTTTCTCTTTCTGTTCACTCTTTCCCACGGGGATTTTTCATTCCTATTCTTCTCTCTCTCTCACTCTCTCGCTCCCGCTCTCGTTCTCTCTCTCTCACTCTCTCGCTCCCGCTCTCGCTCTCTCTCTCTCACTCTCTCGCTCCCGCTCCCGCTCTCTCTCTCTCACTCTCTCGCTCCCGCTCCCGCTCTCGCTCTCTCTCTCTTGTACAATAGCTGTTTTTCCCAGTTTCCCAAAGGGATCTTCCTGTAGCTAAAATATACTATATATAGTTGTTAATTTACTGAAATAAAGTATGTTCCCTTGACTTTAGTCTAGGCGAAAAAATGGTTCATGAAATTTTAGTTCACTCATAAAGCTAAAGTCCGCCTGCTCTAGCAAAAAATGCCCACTGTGCGAAGGGAGGCGTGAGCATTGTTTTTAATTCAGAATTATGTTTAGACCTCTAGAGATTCTTGATTTATATATTAATATCAGACTACGAACCTCATACATAAAAAATGAACAAAACTCCAGAAGATGCCTTAATTAGGCCCCCAGCGAGCGCCGAACGAAGGGAGGCATGAGCATTGTGTTCGATTTAAAAGTCACCAAAGGACGTTGCGCAGATCCACCTTAATAAAGTCAAGGGACCGAGCGAGTGGAGACGAGCGTTACCTTGTGTAACAGTTACATTCTTCTTTGGCTATTAACCATTGGATGCAAAGCAATTCCGAAAGGAATAACCTAACAAATTCTTAATAATTCTCTTCGAGCAGATATGAATTGAAAAATAAAATAACAAAGTATCGTCTGTGTTCCATTTTTGTAGAGCAATAGAGAAATTCTATTTGCAAAGCTATTCAATGATAAAGAAAGATGCCACTTTTACTTTGGTTTCACTATCATCGGAATAAAAACAGAGTGAGTTAAAGTGCCTGACTAATGTGTACTTAGAACGATAAAATCCCATCAGTTCCAAGCAGTTTAATCAATGACAAGTCAAGCAATAAAAGTGGCTGTTTGATAGAGAGTATCACTCAGTCAACTTAAAGAAGAATTTTCTGGGTGAAAAGCAATAAGTTTCCTTGAGTTTCACTCAGTCGACTTAAAAAGTGTAACATAAAAGCAGTTGTATTTATTCGCAAAAGATGTCTGTAACGCTGGAACACGAAAACAAATAAAAATGAAAAACAGTTTAAGAAAGGTAATTCTACATTCCTATAGCAATATTTCGTCTATTGCATATGAGAAAGAGGTTGATCAGGATTGCCAACCACAGCGCATTAATGCGTTTTTCTGAAAAAATCAGAAAAACCCATTGCTACTAGCGCTGCGGATGGAAACCCTGAGGACGATATAAATGAAATTAACCAACACCAGAGAATATGGTGCACCGTAAAGACATATTAAGAAAAGATTTTGTAAAATATTGATCCATAAATATAACCGATGATCTTGAAATGTTGAATTGTCGGATTGTATAATCAAATGCCAGATAAACAATGCCAAAAGGACACAGCTAGTGAAAATAATGTTTTTTGACTAACAGGATCATTACTACAACTAAAGAAAAAGACATAATGAAAAGTCAGATACAAGGTGAGTTTAGAAGGCAAATTTTTACTAAACAAACGGAGAATTATATAGCTTCCTACCTGCCTATAGGACATAGCTAAAGTCCTTTGACAGACATGGGCAAATATCAGCGGAAGGATAACGCATTGATACTAGCGCTGTACTTGGCAACCCTGATTTTGACAGACAATCAGAGTTGAAAAGACTGTCTGTCGATTATTTTGACAGGCTGTTTATTGGCTGAATGAATGTCCTAAACTAGCTGTTCATAATAATGGTTAGTGTGTTGCAGTTTATCAGGTCAAATATTTGCAAGATAATCGCGACATTTGTTGTACTCACAAAAAGGTGGAACAAATTTTAGGCAGAATAAAAACTCCAGAAATCTGGCGGACAGTGTCAGAATTTAGAGTAGGAGGGTCTCCTACTTCATCATCCTAATCGAAAACTCTACACTTCTTTTAAACCTGAAAATTAAATCATAAATGGAATTCTTAAAATAGATGGTTTCTGGTTTTTATATTATTGTTCCAATAGTTTTGTGTTAAGATGCCCAAGTCAACCTACATACGTTCCGTTTTAGAATGGCAGAATCATTTATTCGACATTATAATGATGAGGTTCTGTATGGTGATGAACTACCTCTATTGTATTCTAATATGAATGAATTAAATTCACGTTCTGTAGTTCCTCGAAAATCATTAGAAATGTCGATTATTAATATGACAAACATCACATTTGCTGATATTGATGATGAACAAGAAGAAGAATCGTCAATTCACAATGATTTTACTCGACAGATCGCAGCAAAATTCCAACATAATAAACTGACGAATGGCAATACAAAAATAGGTGATAATGACGTTCAATCAAAGTCATCGCTCAAAAATGAACTTATTCTTTATGTTAAAAATATCATACTTAGTGAACAAAGAGAATAGTTAATTCAAGAGAATCAAAACAACACGCTGAAGGGTTAAAACGATGGTATCTTAAAACATCGTGGAAATGGATAATAACATTACTCGTCGTATGCCTGTCATTATTATCATTCGAAATTATATTCTACTACTCTCTTAGTCTTTATTGTAATCAAAAAATGTCTTCGGAAAGTCTCTATGTCTATGAAAAAAATTCATTCAATTTTCTTGATACAAATGGTGATGGAATTGGTGATTTGAATGGTATTAGTCAACGTCTAGATTATTTAAGACTACAGTTCAATATTAATACGATATTCCTACGTTGTTTAGGTGGTTATATTTGTAACAATGGACCGCGGGGTGTAGAAGTTGCGCCTCAATTAGGGAATATAGAAACCTTAAATCAGCTAATTAAACAAGCTAATCAGATGAATATTAAAGTAGAAGTCATCATAATACTACGAACTAGTATACTCGCTCTATTAAAAATACTCAACTAGTGAGTTTTCAACAACTCAAAGATTTTAGGTAGATCACTTTCCTTGTCGCTCGTTTGACGTGTTTATGTATTATATAAGCACAAAAAGTTTTGAAATAAAATTTTTTTAATAGTCTGTCAACGACTCTCTTAATTGATACAAGGTCTAGTGGTTTAGTACATAAGAGTACTACAGCAATCGATGGTAAATAACCCATTCGACAGCGACTATGCCCTTTAAGTTAAAGTAACTTCAATGCTAAAAAAACAATTCATAATTACTTAAAGATTCCTTATTTAAGTATCTTAACAATTTTAAAAATATTTTTAAATTTTATTGTGTGAGCACAAAAGAAAAATTTTACATAACTTACGTATATCCACTAAGGGGGATCTGTACACGTATGATGTCAGCCTATTAAGATAGGAAAAGATATGGGAAAGTTGACAATTTGCAATAGGTTAGGGCAATTTTCTACGACTTTACGACTTTATATAAATATCCTGTCTACGACACTACGACTTTATGACTTTACGACTGAGTCGTATAGGAGTACGACTTTACGACTTTATATAAATATCCTGTCTACGACACTACGACTTTACGACTGAGTCGTATAGCAGTACGACTTTACGACTGAGTCGTATAGCAGTACGACTTTACGACTTTACGACTGAGTCGCATAGCACCACGACTTACCCACTTTACGACTTATCACGGTTTGTATATCTATTCATGTATGTGCGTATGTATAAGAATGTTTTGCATTTGATGGTCAGGGGTTTGCAGGGGGGAGGGGAGGTGTGACGTGAGAGTGAGTAACCAAAAAACGTGGCTGACTAACGCTTTGGAAGAAATATATTTATGATGTGTGGCACTTGGAATTGTGATGTACTGGATATTAACGAGTGAGAGGCTTCATGCTCCCTTCGTGTTTTTGTGTATCGGATTTAAAGCCGAAGGATGCTGGAAGCAAAACCGATGATCGTCAGCGGATCCAAAAAGTCGTTAAGTCGTACTGCTATACGACTCAGTCGTAAAGTCGTTAAGTCGTACTGCTATACGACTCAGTCGTAAAGTCGTTAAGTCGTAGATAGAATATTTATATAAAGTCGTAAAGTCGTTAAGTCGTAGATTGAATAGTTATATAAAGTCGTTAAGTCGTAGATAGAATATTTATATAAAGTCGTAAGGTCGTTAAGTCGTTAAGGCGTACTGCTATACGACTTAGTCGTAAAGTCGGTAAGTCGTAGATGGAATATTTATATAAAGGCGTAAAGTCGTTGAGTCGTACTGCTATACGACTCAGTCGTAAAGTCGTAATCGATACTAAAGTCGTTACGACTTAACGATTCAGACAGAACTCAAAATTTCGCGTCTTTTAAATTGAGGTCTACGTCAGTGAACTTAATAAAATATGTGTATAAAATATATAAAAATAAAACTGTAGTTAAAATTATTATATATAACGTGTGTATTTTAGATTGTAGTGTGACTGCTTCCACCTATTTCTGGATTGGCGCTGTTCGATTTTTCTTTTATCCTGTTTCGAGATTTAGCTATTGACTTTATCTCTCTCTCTCTCTCTCAAGGAATAGAATGATGACGTACTTGTTCGTACGAAAATAGAAGTACCTCAAGCGAAATACAGCATATATTTAAAATATTTACAGAAACAAAGGGTATTTTATATCTCTCAACGTTGAAGGACAGATTAAGGCAGATCAGGCTGTTTGACATTAGAGAGAGTTGTACAAGGATAGTAATTTTTTAGTCATTCTTTGTAATTTCTCGTCTTTTGTTTGCGTAAGCTATAGGTGGACCTTTTCGATAAAATTATGTTTCGGTAAAATGCTTCTTCCGCAAAATCCTTTTGGACAAACTGTTTTTGTGCGAAAAGTTCATAAACTAGTGACCGCTTTCCTCTCGATGTTTCCGAGAATTGGAGAAGTGGAGTACTCATGTTGAGTGGATGATGAAAAAGAGATTATTGAAACGGGACATATTGTCATTTCGTGCCATTTATGCTAGAAAATTTTTGCTATTTCCGTCTTTTCCGTCCCAGATAGACAAATTATGAAAGAGAAAGAGCCGTTTATGCTTTAGAGTAATAAATGGCTATGCCATTTATGCTGCAGGTTAATTCTGCTAGATATCAGGCATTTATGCTAGACAAGCTGCCCGGATAGACAGATTATGAAAGAGAAAGAGCCGTGTACGCTGGAGAGTAATAAACCGCTATGCCATTTATGCTAGAGGTTAATAAACGATACAGCCATTTATACTAGGGAAAAAGCCATTTATGCTAGAAATTAGCCATTTATGCTAGACAACCTGCCGGGATAGACAAATTATGAAAGAGAAAGAGCCGCTTATGCTGGAGGTAAATGGCTATGCCATTTATGCTACAGGTTAATAAATGCCAGAGCCATTTATTCTAGAAATTAGTCAGTTATGCTATACAATCTACGCTCATAGCAACTGTATAGCTATTTATTCGGAAAAATGTGTGGGTCAGCCGTTTATTCTAGAAACGGCGCAATTTATTATTTTGTTAATAAATTGTAAGTCCTCCTACAATTCTGCGACACTGGTGTATCTAACTTTCACGGTGCATACATGGGTTATGTGCTGTGCATTCACAACGCGCTTAACTTTAAGACAGGAGAAACATTAAGAAAGAAGATAAATCATTTTTCAAGACTACTAACAGTTATTAAGTTTTAGTCCGTTCACCTTTTTTTATCTCCAGCAATTCGGCTAAAGTCATTTTCTAAACGTGTTTTTCATATCTGGCGACCTGATGATTCTACCGGTTAAGGCGAAACTGAGTTGAAACATTCTGATATTTCATAGAGACAACAGCATTCTGAGCGCAGTCTGTTGACCAAAAAAGTGCTTGAACACGGTCGTACTAAAATAAACCTTTTTGTTGAAATGACCACAATTTTAATTTAAAAGACTCCTGAGATTAGAATCGATTAATAACGATGTATCATATTAAGAACGCCAAGATTTACTTTTGCACACTCGTACTCCAAATGGAAAATTTGGTCTTGCTGCTCGTTACTTATGCAAACGTAAAGTTGTAAGACACATTCTTCTATTTATGATGAAAAGATTGTTTTGAAGGCTGTAATGTATCTCCTTGCACTAAAAACTTAGATGTGTTAGACGCACACTGTGATAGAACATTATTTTCAACAGAGTTACCTCATTCAAAACACCTTGTGTTCTCTTTTCCTCTCTTGCGCGTTGAGAATGATTCTTTTCTTTTCGTTCTGTCCTCTGCGCTTTGCACACTTGATAGCACTGCATACTATTCTGCGCGGAATTGAAGAGAGTCTGAAAATTACCTTACACACTTTATTATTTTTCACTGTAACATATCCAGTAAAGGTTTCCAACAGGTTTCGAACAATTCTTACACGATAATCTCAATAGACTAACCAAGTATGGACGACACTAGTCTTCGTATCAGCGTAGTCGGCTTAGGTAAACTGGGTAGTCCGATGACTGCTGCACAGTGGGCATTTTTAGCTAGAGCAAGCGGACTTTAGCTTTATGAGTGAACTAAAATTTCATGAACCATTTTTTTATAGGTTTTTCATGATCCTCTTTCTAATGCCATGAGAGTTGGGTTTTGAAA